CTTCTCCCTTCTCTATCTTGTCCTGCTTCTGAATTCAAGTATTGTAGCTATACCTTTTTGTCATCCATCAGTAATAATCATCGGTATTATCATGCAGTGGGAGTATCAAGTTGGTCCGAGTGTGGGAATTGAAGCTGGAGATCATATCTGGGCTTCAAGATACATTCTTGAGGTAACTCGTCCTAATCATAACTTGGTGGCAGTTTTGCAACTGAATGGTATCATTCAACTAGTTTTGGTGTGTCGATGCATCCTATGATTCACTAAAAATTTTATATTTTTTCCCTACCCTGGCAGAGAATCACTGAACAAGCTGGTGTTGTTCTCACACTTGATCCAAAACCAATAGAGGTAATATAGATTTTACCATATACCGATATTTTCGGTATTTGTACACCGATGAATGAACTTATCCCCTATTTTGCATCGACAGGGTGACTGGAACGGTGCAGGATGCCACACCAATTACAGGTAATTAGCCAATACAACATTGATGAAATGGACAATATCTACGTATAATTGGATAGCATGCTCAGGAAAAATAATATATTGAATAATCATTCCTTTCACAGTACAAAGAGCATGAGGGAAGAAGGAGGCTTTGAAGTTATTAAGAAGGCCATTTTGAATCTTTCCCTTCGCCATGGTGAGCACATTAGTGCTTACGGAGAAGGAAATGAGAGAAGGTTGACAGGAAAGCATGAAACAGCCAGCATTAACACATTTTCTTGGGTATGCCCTTAAAAATTGCTAGCTGTTTCTCTTGAACTTTAAACAGTGGAACCAGGAAGTTTCGGATTATAAAATTTATAACTAAATACTCGTTAACTTGAACTCGTAGGGAGTGGCTAATCGTGGTTGCTCAATCCGTGTTGGTCGTGAAACTGAGAAGCAAGGAAAAGGTACTACCCCCAGTTTCAGTATTTACTATCTTAAGCTGTGGTTAAATATGTAAATATATTTGTGTTGTCTTTTAAGCTTCATCGGCATGCTCCCAGCATTCCTTTCTGTTATGTCACTCTTAGAAACGACCTGCACCACTGAACCTTTCGATGTTGCTGACTCTTGTGTTAGGTTATCTGGAGGATCGTCGTCCAGCTTCAAACATGGACCCTTACATTGTGACCTCACTGCTGGCAGAAACTACATTGTTGTGGGAGCCAACCCTTGAGGCTGAAGCTCTTGCAGCTCAAAAGCTTGCATTGAACGTCTGAAACCAATTCGCTGAAGATAATCCACTGGGGCCTAAAACGCAGCTAATTGGGACAAAGCAGCAGCATATTCCTTCGCCCTTTAAATCCTTTTGAGAAGTTCCTTTGGAAATAAAGGTCCCATTGTCAGTGATTGTTCATGTCATGTTCAACTTTGTAGAATGTTTTCTTGTATCGAAGAAATCGTGTAGATCGGAGAGCCTTAATTGAATCATTTGACAGTTTATTGGATATTTTACGCAGCATATGAACTCTGGTTTTTGCATAAGAAATAAATTTCGGAATTGATTCAAACCGTTCATTTTTTAAGTCCTCGTTCGAAGATCTTCCCTGCAAATTCACCAAAATCTGAAAACACTATGTTCATCTATTTATATAGTCACACAGACAGATAAACCTTTTCATCAAATTCTGGTAGAATTGAGCTTTCAATGAGGATCCGAACACCAAACGATTCACATTATGGGGTACATTCTGTAAAGGTTCCAGACTCGTAATTAGCGACATATGAATTGGTTAGCACTCGAGCTCTACTGTATACAATAATACGCATTTCTTTTGCAAGAAAAGAAGCATTAAACAGAGAAAAGTATAACTTTATTCTTTTATTTTGTGTGCTTAGCATGGAAACTTTATTCCATCGAAGTCTAAAGAGCTGCCGTACAGAAGTGATTATATTTTGTTTATTTACGTTTTTTAATTCTCGTAATCTCATTTGATTTATTAATCTAATTTAAAGGCGAAAAATAAACAGGATGTGTAGTAGAAAGAAAATGAATGCGGAAATCAAATAAAGGATTCTTTGGCCCTTCCATGAGGCAATCCCAATGAAGGAAAAGAATGTAAGCCATTTCTTTGAAAAGACGCATATTAAAATTCAGAATATATAGTTCTGTAAGCTGAGCTCTTTAAGGGTGACAACATCTAGTTCTTCTCCTTCCATCTCTGAAAAAACTTCAAAGGCCATGGCTAATGGAGGGGCAAAATCTGCAGCATCAATTCTCCTAATTGTTAATCTTGTTCTGTATTTCGTTGTGATTGTCATTGCTTCTTGGGCTGTCAACCATGGAATCCAAAGGTCTCGCGAAACCGGTAATTATCGATTGGCATAGTCTTTCAATTACGTGAAATCTTCTGGCATGATCATCACATCACATGTGATTGAATTGTGGCAATCACACTGAACAATTTCTCGTCAATTACAACTTAATTGTGGTAACTAACAACATTTAATGTGCATGCATGCAGCATCTGTTTTGTCGATTCCTGCTCGGATATTTCCAATATATTTTCCATTTGGGAATACGGCAACTGGGTTCTTTGTGGTCTTCTCCCTCATTGCTGGAGTTGTTGGATTTGGGACCTCACTCACTGGACTCCACAACGTTGTCCAATGGGACAGCCCCAGCTTGCACACAGCTGCTGCTGCTTCTCTTGCTACTTGTTCACTCACCCTTCTTGCCATGGGGTGAATACTTCTGCTTCTTTTTGTTCTTCAGTAAATTAGGAAAAAACAAACGGCCCGACAACAATAAGTTTTATATAAAAACACTTCAAGAGCCCGATTCGAGGGAGAAAAATCTTTTTCTATCTACTTGTTATGCTCTAATTGATTTTTAGTTGTGAAATTATTTTGGTGTTCCAAAGTTGGGTTTTGATTTAAAGTACGAAGTTTGAAGCATTTTCTTTAAGTGTTATGTTATCAAATGCTTAATTGTGAATTTTTTTTTGGTACACTTGATCTGTTTGGTCTCCAATTCATACTTGTATTTTACCCCACTTTTTCTGTTTCAGATTGGCATGTAAAGAGATTGATCTTGGTTGGACAGATTCCAACTTGGTAAGTTGCTGCTCTTACACACACACACACATATATATTTGAAATATAAAACCAATGTAAGCGTAATTACCGTACTTGGCGAGGAAAACTTCCCTCTCACCGGTTGTATATACAATTATGTGTAATAATTCTTTCATATGTGACTAGTCATGTGACAAGAAAGACCGATACAATCAGTTTCACTTGCACCAAAGATTTCCTTGTACTAGGCATTGTGGCACACTACATTTAGTACTGGCAGCCTTTTTGCATAGATGCATATACGTTATCTTTTCACACATGACCCTCACCTACTCGTCTTCACATGATTAATGGCTATAAGACGGAAGTTGTATACACAATACATTCGTCACATATAAGAATCTACCGATGGCTCGTATAGCTAGGGAAAGAGCAAGTAGTAATAGTGTTGAAATTTTTATTGCAGAAACAAAAGAAGCTTAACTAATTACATGACTAATCACGGTGTTATGTGTTGTATTAACAGCGTACGTTGGAGACAATAACAATACTTGTAACTGCAACGCAGTTGTTTTCGACGTGTGTCATCCATGTTGGGGTTGAAGATGTTATTGCTCAAGAAAGGAGCCGCACTGGAAGAGTTTAATCGTCCTAATTAGTGTCATCTTTCACACTAATACACTGCTTGAATGTTGATTATTCATGTATGAATTGTTGTTAAATACCAACTAATCTTGAGAAATAAGCGTCTTGCATCTCAACTCACGTGCAACTAGAATACAAAAGTGCAATTAAACTGCCAATTACCAGTTAATGGATCAGTCCAGATCAATTCAAATCCGACATTATTAATAAGAAATGGGTTGAGCTATCCTTTGTACTATCTTATGATATTTTCAATAAATATCTAATATTTTAGAAAAAATATGTGTATATAAAGAATAATGTTGTCACTTCTATGTTTAATGTATATTGATCATCGGTTGCCTTCAACGGAAATTATGGAAGTTTGCAATGGAGAGGGTATATACTCCATTCATATTAGTCGAAAACTAGAGAAAAATTTCTCAAAAAAAAAAAAAAAAAAAAAAATTAGAAATCTGCAATGGATTATAAATATCGTTGCTATTCATTGATATGCACATATGTATGATAAATGTATGCATTAGTTATGGCAAAATTTATGAAGTAAATTGATAAATATCGTCGCTATTCATTGATTTTCTTATATTTTGCAGATGTAAAGTGAAGTTTGCATTTCACCATCCATTTTCATATCGATCCTTAATTTTTCAGATATTTCAACAGAAATATCAACAATTCCGTAGCTCTACATGTAATGTACTGGTTTGTATTTGGGGTAGACCTAAAAATATCTTCATTTAATGGTTACTAGCCAATAAGCACACAATCTGTGTATGTGAACAATTTCATTTTATTTTTTGTTTTTTATTAAGGAGTGATTAGTTTTTAAAAATTTAAAAAGAGTATGAAAAAACGATGGTGGAACAATTTCTCTTAATAAGTGCATATTTTATCTTAATATTACATAATTATTGTTTTGTCATTCTTATGTAAATATTGTGAATCAAAAGTGAGGGTAAAATAGGAAAAATAGGGATATGATTCTTATTTTTTCAAAAGATACAAAATTACTATTTTGCCCTCCTTATGTATGTATTGTGCATCAAAAGTGAGGGTAAAATAGGAAAAGTGGCAAAAGTGAGGGCAAAATAGAAAAAAAAAATGATAAAAAGTTGACAAATGGGGTTCTCTTAATAATAGTATATATAGATATTAACCTCCTATGCTAAAAGAAAAAAAAAAGCAAAATTTAGTTGTTTGAAATTACATTTATGTTTCATATTTCTTATTCATGTTCTATTTTAATTAAATTGTTTAACTGATAATTTTATAAAATTTTGATTGACGTTATATTAATTAATAGAGATATATAGATATTAACCTCCGATGCTGCAAAATTCTCTCATAAGTTGAGATAAACCGTTAAATTCCCGCCACTTTGGAAATTAACCGACTGTACAGAAACATCCCTAAAATCCTCCCTCTCTCCCACACTCAGCTTCACCCATGAGCTTCGCTTACCGTGCCGTCACAACGGTAACATTCCCCTCTTTCCCGCTGAACCCTAATCCCAAAACCCTAATTGCCTCAAATTTCACTCACCCGAGCTCACTGAACAAAACCCTTATACAAGCAAAGCCGAGATTAAGCCTCCAAATTCGAGCTGCGGCGAGCGATAGCAGCCAAAGCCCGTGGTGGGTGAACGTTTTGCCGACCAAAGCTTTCGGAGCCGAGAAATTCCTCAGGTTGATTTCAGGCGCGACTGCTAGCCCCATCTGCCAGTACGTCTCGGAACCCACCACCTTCCTTCATTCTGTGGACCCCAGAATCAAATTGGTATGCTTAATTTTGATGGGTATTTCCTGGTTTTTTTATGATAAATGGTGGGTTTGGTCTAATTTGGTACCGTATATTTAGCTGAAAGGGATGAATTGATGTATGGGTTTTGGGTTTCGATGGCATTTAAAGTTCAAGTTTTTATTTTTGATTTTAGGTATTTCAGTTTGCTTCGTATTGAGTTTCTAGTGTTATGTGTTTGATATGTATATGTTGCGGAGCAATTTGATAAGACTGATAAAAAAATGTTCCCTTTTCTTCTTCTTCCTGATTTTAATTGTGTTACAACATAGAACTTTAATATGAAAGAATGTTGTTGTTCACTTGTCTTTTCTTTTTTCCGTACCAGAGAGAGGGTTAGGGAACATTAAATGGTTGTTTCCGTGTCCAAGTTTCGACTTCGCCTGTCAACATTCGAGGTTTAGGAAGAACCGATTTGTATAGTGTAAGAAATTGCAACGGCAGTGCCCTTTAAAATTTTAGATGAGAGGAGTAGAATTCCATGCATATGATACACCTGAAATCTCCAACTATTATTGAAAGGCGGCGACTCTCAAACCTTAAGAGATGACATTTCTATTGAATATACTAGCTATTAGCTAAGTCAAGTAGAAACATCATATGGAATGAGATTCTTTTAGATCAACCAAAATTTTGAGCACAATCAAATGATTTTAAAGCGGAGGCTGTTTATGTTGTTAAATGCACTTAACAATCAAATGGTAATGATATCATTTTGCATCCTGGGCCTCTGTCTTTTGTTAAAGCATATTTGTAAATAACACCTCACTGTTGGTAAAGTTTGCATGATAAATTTTTTTTGGGATAGGGCATATATGCGGTTATGTAACTTCTGTTTTATTACCTTTTTTCATTTTGACCATGCAGGTTTGGCTTTTGGCTCTAGTTGTTTTACCAGCAAGGTCACATATAATACTGCGCTTTGGATTAGTAGTATACTTGGCCGTTTTGTCAATATGGATTCTTCCAAGACACACATGGATGGTAAATAACTAAGCACCAGCCTATGAGTCAGGAGCTAGTTTTAATTGTACTAACTTCTTAGTCTTTAGTATTTTATTAACAAGGCCTTAGTGATGCATCTGGTATTTTGTTATTCCTTCTTCCTTTGTTGTGAATCGATAATCAAGATACTAATGCAGGATATTTTCTTGGTTACAGGACCAACTGGGAAGAGTGTCCTTGATTTCTGGAATTTTATTCATTATGCTGGGGCTGGGTTCAGATGGTGTACCACCGCTTGTTCAGTTGAGAACCCCACCTTCTGCAATGATGGGATTATCAAATCTTCCTGCATCCCTGGAAGGTTACTCATATTTAATTATGAAGCTAGGTCCAATACAGTTTACAAGGAAGGGGTTGTCTGTAGCGAGCACAGCTGCTTGCTTAACCTTTACTGTAAGTTGCTTCTATCTCTGCTCGGTGCACCTTTTGCCTCTTATTAAATAACAATATGTTTGGGTGCCCATTGAAATCACATTATAAGGGTGTGTTTGTATATGTAGGGACACAAATTTTGAGATTAAAGTGATGTAACCATACAATTGATGAAGAAGCTTTTATTTATACTGATAATTAGGCTTTGTATTTTTGTGAAAGGTCTTTCAAAGTGCGAGCCTTTGCCTTACAACCACAACCCCTGAAGAACTTGCATTTGCTTTGCGGTGGTTTATGCTCCCTTTGACACATCTTGGTGTGCCAGTGGCTGAAATTATTCTTACCCTCATGCTTTCATTGAGGTTCATCAATCTGGTTTTTGATGAGGTATGGGGATTGGTCAATAAGATTTGTGTTCAGTGATTCCAAAATTTTCAGATGATTTTCTTGACAGAGGATTAGTGATGATTTAGCTCTAAAATCTACTCAAACTGATATCTACTCCTTTGGAATATACTTCTAATGTGTTTGTAGGTTCGGAATGTTGCATTGGGGATTGTATCTCGTAGGATAAACTGGGAACAGCTGACAATGGTGGAAACAATTGATCGTAAGCATGCATCCAACATATGAATTTTTGTGTTGTTATTGTTGGTCTTCTCGTCCTTAGCTACAAATGAATCTGAGTTGTAGGGTCCTCAAAGCAGGAAGAGTTTCTGCTATCTAAATTTTATCATATTTGTGTGTTGTTCACACTGTATAACGCTTATAGCCCCCTTTGTTTATGGATATTGTCTAGTTTGGTCTAGTAAATATCTTTTCAGCTTGACTGAGTAATCTTAACAATCTGATTCCTTCATCTTTTATGAATTCTGTGCTATGTTAAAGATGTTTCGTTGCCTACATGTAGAACTACCTCATGCTCTATCACTTTAGTGTAACTGTCAGCTTAGATGATGAGGGACAAACTGATATTAAACATTTATCTATTTTAACACTGTCTTATCACCTTTTTCTTGATTGTCATTGGCGACTTTCCTTTTATGATTTGGTTCTTACTTTTCAGTTTTATTTGCCTACTTCCGTCGGATCTTCACAAATATTTTTAGCCATGCAGAGCAGATTTCACAGGTTTGTGCATTAACTCACAGAAGTAAGAGAGAAAAAGTAATTCTGGTTTTGCATGTTTCACCAATGTTATGGCTTTTACAGGCAATGATTGTCAGAGGTTTTAGAGGGGACAGCAATGCTCATAAGATTTACTTGTTATCAGATCCATCCATCGGGACTGCAGATATCATTTCCCTGTTATGCCTGGTTGGTGTAATAGGTGCTTCCGTATGGTTTGGCTACTTTCTAGTCTGATCTGCTGTGAAACTTTTCATCGGTAATCCCCCCTTTTATTTCTCCGCCTATTTGTTTGGGACAGGTAGTTTTAGCTTTGCGCTTGTGTCTCTGATTCGATCAATATGTCCTACAGGGGAAAAATATTGTTGATGATATAGTACCATATACCGACACGCATATGAGCCGGCTGTAATTTTGGTAGAACTGTATTATCAGTAGATAGAGTTCTGCAGTCTATGGAAGAAAATTCATCAACGTTCCTACAAAGAAGCGGTGAAGGTACTTCCTGGTTTCTGGAATGCCAATCAAGAATTTACAGAGTTCTTAAAAGGATCGGAGATACCTCAAGGGTTCTGGCTGTCCCAACTAAACGAAAATCAACATCAAACTAACAGTGTGTTGGATGGTTGAAACTTAAAACTTTGGGATTAGCTTACCAACAATGTTTCCTGATAAAGCCTTCTTATGCATTGCACCTTTTGGTTATACATGATAAAAGAAAACAATGCAAAATCTCACTGATTTGTGCTGCCGAGGATAGTTGTTTGATTTCAAAGTAATTATTATCAGATACTGATTAAAAGCGATTAGTGAATAATCAGAAATACTTAAGATAAAACATAATTTTGAGTCATCGATCGCAGGACGGCATGTCCTGATGATAGTCAAGGTGACAAACTATTGAACTAAGAATTATTCGATAACCAAAAGTTTTGTATAAATGATCATGAGTACAATCATGAATTATTACCTATTTATTTCTCGTCTTAGTATTTCTATCAACAAGTGCCTCCTTAGTGAGTCTTTCTTCGTAAGTAATTTAATTGTGTTGGTGTGTCATCAGCTCCTCTAGATCTACAATTTGTTAGAATCATTTTCTTCGTTGACAGTGTTCGCACAAAATTCGTGTTGGTAGGAGACTAGTTGGTTTGTTGCCAGTTACTTTTCGGACTCGAAGTTGCTTGTTATCAAAGAGTGTCCTCTTGTTCATTATGTTCAAAGCTTTGTACGTAGAAGTTTTTATCAAGAGTGACATTTCTCTAGCTATGGAGTGCCATCTCAATCTTCTGAGTTTGGATGTGAATGATTTTGCCCTCAAACTCACGGGCACGGTGGTAATTAGCTTTGCCAAGTTGGCCTTTTATTTTATATTAAAGTTTTTTTAAATTAAGGATTTCTCTAATGTTATCTCGAATGCACTCTTTGATATTTGTGTCAATTCTTAATTTTATATTAAAAATGTGAATAAATAGAATATCGTAAGAAAATTCTATTCGCACGCGTGTTAGAAAAACATTTTCACGCATGCATGTCAATAATTAGGTTTTTGAACCCAAAATATTTTAATGCCTATATAAACGCATATGATCTTACTTTTTATCATATTTTCATCTTTTGTCGTAGGAAAATCTTAGATTAGTTGCAATCAATATGGCTCCAACTTGGCGCACGTTAGTGAAAGTTGTGGTTGTTCTCGCCATCATCACCACGGTGGCTGCCAGAGGCAGAGATGACTGTGGAGGCAGCGGAGGTGAAGGTGCCAGCGGCGGAGGAGATGGCAGTACTGGTGGTGGTGTGCCTAGCACTGGTGCAGGAGTGGGTCGTTTGGTACGTAACAATGCCATGATACCTGCGTATGGTATTGTCTGGTGCATAGCGTTTCATTACTTGCTGAATGCGTTGTGGCGGTGCTAATCATACTGCGGCGGACATGGACATGTTCATGTGTTGTTTCAAAGACGGCTTCTTTAATTCCAACTGTTACAATTTATATTATCATAGCAAATGTAGAAATTAATAATACGTAGTCTTATATTCGTGACACGGCATTATAAGTTAAATACTGATGAACGATCACCCTTTAATATAATTCTGAAACGCCAACGGTCCGTTTGATTGGTAATAGAATGAAAATTGTATAACTAAAAATACAACCTGAAAAATTGTTAAAACAGCTGCACAAACCCTAACAGTAAAAGAAATAAAACCGGAAAGTACAAAAATAATTCAAATATGTTTTGACCCACTGACGTTGTGATACTTTTTAGATAGTTCTTGATATTTTTGTTCTTTCAAATTGGTCCCTGTTGTGTGTTGCAAGCAAGTTTTTTCTTTCCTTACATCCAGTTTTTGCTATTGCTCCCTGGAATTTGACTACAAGATCACCTTGTTCATGAAACTTAAAATTTGGCACTTAATTTTTGAAACTCGATTTTTATTTCATTTTGCCTAGTTTTTAATTAGATTTTTTCTTTTATAAAGTTTTATTGATTAATAAATTATTAACGGTTGTTTTGACCAAAATATCCTTCCCCTTGTTTCCACACGCCACATAAGCAATTTTTTTTCCATGTCAGCAAAAGCCACGAAATAGATGAAATCTAGGCATTGTCGAACAAAAATCAACTGGTATAAATTCACTCTCTTAAGATTCTCTCTGATAACACAATCTATGTACACTTATTCTCTTGCGACTACTTAAGTCTTATATTACTTACTAACTTGACATAAAGATCAACAAATTGACTCATGGGATCTGAGCATTGGATTTAAGTCAACGGAGGTTTTTTGTGTCGTGTCCAAGGCCCATGGCCCACTCAAAAGTGGGTAACGCTAGATATTTCAACGATGGGTCACACCGGTCTAGCGGCCCATTGACCCTTGGCACTCCGTTACCATTTATTTTTCTTTTATTTTAATATTATTAATTAATTTGGAGGGCAAAATCGTCAGAGTAAAAAAAAAGTCAAACTTTAAATTATGGTTGCGACGACGAATCAAACCTGGGGCTTTTATATAGTGGATGGCAAACACACACACACACACACACACATACCTTCAATCTTCCCACTCTCTCCGCTGCGATCCCCACTCCACTCTCCTTTACTGTTTTATTTGATCGATTTTTCGAGAAAAACCCTACAAGTTCACTTCAAAAGTTTGGATTTTTATATTTATTTTTCAAGATATTCGGTTAAATAATTTTCCTTTTGTAGTGTTTGCAGGCCTCTATTTTTGCCTTGAGCTTCAGTTCAATTGGTGTTTGAATTTCATTAATTTATTTGGGTTGTGGTGGTTGGATAAAACCGAGAATTGGGGAACAGAGCAGTGAGCCAAAGGTACCAATTTTTGTGTTTTCACTTTCATGCATGACTTATATAATTTTTTTTATGATTTTTTTTCGCGTGTTGTTATTAATTGAGATTTTGTATTTAAGTAGTGAAATTTGGTCTTATTATTTGTTCTTGAATTGTTTTTAGGGTTTCCGAAACGTAGATTTGATTTGAGTGTGGTGAATTTACTGTTTGTGGGGTATATCCGTATATGTAAGTATAAGAGACAAGGGGGTGTGTGTTTGTGTGAAGTCAGAACTAAGAGCTTGTTTTCTGGGGTTGGGGTTGGTGTTTCTGTAGAATCTGACTTTGGCGAGGTAGTGACCGGAGAATTGAGACTTCGAGTTGATTCGGGTCTTTTTCGCTTGGGCCCGTGTAGTTGCTTCTAATCCTGATGCTGCCCCTGTTGTTGCTCTTTCTGCTGCTGCTGATGCTGACGAGCGACTCACAGCTCATTGCCTCCGGTACCTGGAATTGATCATGAATCGGTCAGGAATTGATGTAGCTGTGCTGTGTGCACCAGCTGCTGATTGTCTGTCTATTTAATCTAACAATTTATATATGATCTTGTTTGTTCAAATTTTGAAAATAAAAAACAAAAAATAGTGCTTTCTTTCAAGGTTTCTTGTTTCTTTCTATTCAGATGCAGTTTTCACTTTCATTTCTTCCAATATTTATTGATCTTCATATGTACACACATATGTTCATGAGCTTTGTAGTTAAGTTCATGCGTCTTTAACAAGTCACATTCGTAATTTATTTTCTGTGTCATAGCTAGTCATGAGCTTTGTGTGGTAAATTCTTGTGTCATAACTCGGCCGCCTCAGGGTGTAGATATTAGAGCATTTGAATCATGTGCCTGTTTCTGTACCTAGTGTTAATCGAGAAACTGTTGGACCCAAATGTAATGGAATGTCTGTTGGGCATACGAGGTGATTAATTTACGTTTATCTATTAATTGTTGTTTTCTTTTCTTTCTTCCTAGTTTCTTATCTCTGAAATGTTTCTTCTCAAAAACATTGGTCGACCAGCAGCCAGAAAACCATGGAACAGAAGAGGTCTACTTTTCACCTGCAACATCAACATTCCAAATGGTCTACATCACCCTAGTCTAAATTTAGGGGCCAACAAACAATCGCCTGAGGAAGCAGAGGAGAAAAGCCTCTCCTAGAAGCTTACCATGGTGTTCAAGGTAAGAATACCCTTGCTGCTTGTTTATTCAAATATCATTGCAAAGGAAATGTGAGAGAAAACTAAGATAAATGGTCTTTGCGTTTTTAAGGAACTAATTAGGCTAAGCAACAAGCATTTTCCTTAATAATCTTGGCTTCTCTGGATGGTGTTCTAATTTCCACTCTATTTTTGGACTGGTTGATAATCTAATCCAACCAAGGGTGTTTTCTAATCTCAAGTGCTTTAGGTGTTGCAATAAGTTTCATTGTGTTGTTATCTTGGTTACCCATCCCCCCACCCCTCCTCCCGCCTTGCATGAGTTATTGATAAGATGGAAAGTTATTGTGTCTAGATTCTAGAAGCAGGTTTCAATCATGCTTGTTATGTTCGACTGTACTCAGATACCATTCGTTTGGGATTTGAATAGAGTTTTCTTTAACATCTCCATTTCCTGATTTAAGCTGCATTCAACTTTAAAGCTTCATTACGGTTTTCTTTATTTTTAAGGCTATACAAGAGGTTTTAAAGCATGACAATGTTTGTTTAACGTGCAACAAACATCGATATCGTTGAGAAGTTGGTGGATATTTACTTTTCTTCTGATTTAAGCTGCATGAGTTATGGTTTTGTTGCTTTCTGTTTCTTCTAATTTGGTTCCATTTTATTGTTTTGAGTGTTTGTATGCATATGACATATAAGCTCCGATTTGGATGAGTAATGCCGTGGAGTACGGTATACGAATAGAAAGGAGGGAGAGCCATAAAAAAATATTGAAAGCTCACCCCAAGTAGGATCATCCAAGTAAATCCGCAAGTTACCCAAGGACAGAAAGAATGTGAACTCTCTGCTATTCACTACTAACAAAACTAGAGGCACCGCCCTTCCTTAGATTGGTTGACCATTAAGTTCCTCACTCTTTTTGCATCATCCCAATTAATTCCAAGATTAATATCTCAAAGGTTACATCAAGAAGGCCAATGCAGAAACAAAAGCCAATTGCTTCTCTTCTCCTAAGCAAACTTTGCTTCTTGTTTGTGGGCGTGCTAGTGAGTTCATTCATGCTGACGTTTAATTGAAATAAAAAATTTACAGGACCTTTCTACTCCACAACGGTTGGAGGACTGAGAAGCTCTGACAATCCTGAAAGTAAGATCACCCCTGTGCACGCTACTGATGAAGAGTTCTGGGGTGCAACATTTAAAGGTGATATGAAGCGACTATCTTTTTCTTTTATTAAGGGAATAAGTGACTAATTTATAAACACTAGTCAATACTATGGTTTATTGGCATGCTATGCCTGTGGGATTATAGGCATAGGATCTACGTTAATGGTTGAGATGTGTAGTATCGCGTCGCTAATGTAGAGGCTCTGTAAAGTTCCTTTTGGAGATGCGCCTTTGATTTTCTGTTTGGGGGATTGGGTCTAGTTTTATTTTCTGTTTTGCTCTCAGTGCATAGTGTCAGAAAAGCAAAGCTTAGCAATGGAACTGGTAAAAGCCTTAGTAGGATACAGTTTCAAATCATCAGATAAAACACTGCAAAAACTGCTGGTGTTGAGTTTTTGCTGCGAGTTAACTGATGATGTGAGAGTTGAAAGGCTTAAGCTTCCCCTCTGAGGAAACTATATCGCAAGCAAATCTGAAAATAACGGATGGACTTGAAACTCCAAATCAGATGCAAAGAAAGCATCAGAGCTGTGACGTTTAGCAAACTGGTGAGAGAATTTGCTCGTACATATCTTTCGAAGATGAAGTCCATACAACTTGAGAAACATGTACCAGATCTCTAGGAACATTGATGTCATGGACTCATGTGTGGCGAATGGCGGCGGAGATGGTTTCTGGTGAGGGCCAGGGATTTTGTTGAATGCAGATTGTCAGCATTTTGCCACAAACTAGAAGTTTTTTTTCCTGATAGAGGTGCGCCGTCGTCTTCAAAGTCTAAATTTAAATCTGCATCCGTTTCGGTGCGGGAGGTTGTATGGTGTTGGATGCAAGGCATGCATCAGGAGCCATGTACATACCCCAACACTCAAGTGACTGTTTGATAAGAGAATTTGATCTGTACAGCTATGCTTTTGTCCATCTATTTGATCTGAATCATATCGATGATCTTCCTGAGCCTGTATTGGTTGAAATCCTGTTTTCGACTTCCTTGCAATAAAGTATAGCGTTGTGCGGGTGTGGAATCATGACTTTCCAGGGAAAGTAGATCGGTTACTTCAAAGGTCTGGTCATGGACCGAACGATTTCGTTGAGATTGACCATTTTTATTCCGCAAGACACAGGGACATGATCCAACAAGTCTTCAACCAGTTCGTTATATTATTCATGGAATTCCTACAATCGCGAAAGAAATCACACTCTAAAAATTATGCAATATATATATATCCATCTTTTGAGAGTCTTTCGGTTTAATATAGAATTTTATCCTAAAATGATTTTTCTTCGGACTGGTATGCAGCCCACAACAAATGCAACACAGAAAAGTATAAAATGTTTTACATCAAGCAATCATGCATGTGCGTGAGTTGTCTCTCCTTCCTGACAGTTGATCATCGTACATCACCTACTCGTTGATAATACCATAAATTGTCTAGTCAAAATGACCCGTGCCCAATTCTATTTCTATAATTTTCTTTTCTGACGTGGAATCAGTCCTTGTAATTTCAGAAAAAGAAAGTGGGAACATAGGAGTCTTTGACCGTCATACCCCGACGTGTTCTTTTACAGATAAACGGATTTGAACACCTCCACCTTCTGTTGTCGTGCGCAAATTTAGTTTCAACAGTTATACATATATATAAATATATTTATACAATATGTTTCTTATTTTTATATGTACCTGTTTTTTCATGGCAAAACATAATTTTCTCTATTGATTTTGAATTTTTTTTATCTTTCAATATTTTCAATCCCACAAATTATAGCTTTTATTTAAAATATCATAAATATACACAACTACAAACTCCAATTTTAAGTTTGAAAAAAAATAAAATAACTAATATGGAAATAAATTAATATTAAAAGCCAAAGACTTCGATCAAAATTGAAAACCAATAAGTTTCAGTTAAATAACATTAGTAGCTAGGAACTGTGCGTCCAAATCTTTCTATTTTTAATAGAAGGGGTATTTGTAATCTAAACTACCATATGACCGATATTTGTATGAAAGTAAAAAACACAAAATTAAGCCGTCTCTTTTTTACCACCGCCCCATGGCATTTAGCAAGTAATGAAACGCTGTGTACCAAACGATCGTATTGCTAATACCATACGCAGGCACCCTGGCATTCTTATTAGATGAGCTACGCGGCGTGCTACGTTGACTGCCGCTATGTCCACTGCTGCGGCCAGTACTACCACCTCCACTGCCGCTACCACCACCACCTCCACTGCCGCCACGACCACCAACTCCACTGCCGCCTCTGCCAGGGACTACCACGGCTCCGCCTTTAGCAGGGACGACTGCGGCAGCCGCTGTGACTGTGGTGATGAAAACGAGCACAGCCACAACTTTCACTAACGTGCGCGAAGTTGGGGCCATAAGAATTGTAACTAATCTCAAATTTTCCTATGATAAAAGATGAAAATACGATCATGAGATATGCGTTTATATAGGCATCAAAATTTCTTGCGGTAAAAGGTAACCAAATTTTTCACAAAAAAAAAAAGGAAACCTAATTATTAACCCTCATGCGTAAATATGCGCGTTTTAAACAAGCGTGTGAATACAATTTTCTTACGATATTTATTACCTTTGATTATCTTGGGGTTTATTTTATGTTTATTGTTAGGGTTACATTGTCGGATTGGAGGTCAAAGAGGAAAGAAATCCTAATTAGGGGATACTGAAATAAGGCCTCATTTGGCAGCTCCTATAAGGAATTTGATAGGATTAATAATACGGACTCGAGTGTTTAGTGCGCTTATGTATAAAATAGTCGCCGAATTAATAAACGGTCCAAACTGTTTTATACGGTCAGATGCGGTAGTGGCAGTGTCAATAATTCAGACTCGGGTGTTTTCAGTATTGGTTATGGTTGATTATTAAGGAATCCTAGGCAGATGCGGTAAGGCGGTGTTAATTAGTTGTGACGACGTGGTGTGGACGGGAGTGAGCTACTTGCTGCATGGAGGGCTGTCTTATTTGTTCAGGAGTTATATGCAGGTGGTGTGGACGTGGTGTTTGAAGGGGCCTCTCTTATTAGTATTACACTTGCTGCTATGAATCGTCAAGAAGATGACAACGATATTCGAGCTTTTATTCAAGCGTTCTCCCAGCCAAAATTTAACCACGTTCGTAAGGAGGCAAACCAGGTTGCACAGAGGCTGTTGCTTGTGCAGGAATTGGGCGGCAACAGGAGGTGTCTTGGTTCGAGGAACCACCGGATCTAGACAGACATTTTGGTCGAGGATAGCTCCATTTGATTTGAATTTGCTAATTGATTGTATTTTCATTGAGGATAGTTAACTTTTTAAGTTGCTTGTGCGGGGGTTTTTATCGAGGCTCATTGTTGTGCACCCCATTCTCAAATCTGTACGTATTCCTTTTCGTATCGATGAATATCGTACATCTAACAAAATTTATTGCGATGACAAACAAATAGACAGAGACTCTGGTGAATTGAATTGAAGAGATTGAATCCATTTGTTTTAAGACCATGTGTTCAGAGAAGATGATTTGTTTAATTTCAAAACGTGGTTTCTTTACACGCATGACTACAACATAAACTGGGGACGCTTTTATTTAATGATCGATTTTGATACAATAATATACATTTATGAATAAGCAATCTGTTTGCCATGTCAGCATAAATCACAGAGTAGACGGAATTTAGACATTGTGGAATGAAAATCGAGTTTCAAGGGGTTAAGTTGCAAAATTTGATCCAGTGGGTAAAGCGAGATTGAAGTCAAATTCCAGGGGAAATAGCAAAAAAAAAAACGCCTGAATTGACATTAGACTTTCATACATTCCCAGTGAAGCTTCAATTACAGCAAATAAATAAATTTCTAACCACGGAGTAACCAATGGACTTGACAGCAAATACAGTGGAAGTCAAAGTCTCCAGGAAAATATGGCATTACATTAACTGGGAACAAAATATTTACATGACTCTGATCCACGCATCAACAGCAAATTATCCAAGGCAAATCAAGGACTAGCCACTTCTGCAGCTCAAAGACTTCAAAATCTATCCATACAGAGAAACCGAGATGACTGACTATTGTTCCCCACACGCTTACCTCTGCCAACAGAGTTTCCGTCCACCCTCTCGCATAATTTCATAGGCGAGCTTGTGCTTTTCGAGAGATGTTGCCCCAGCCTCTATGTATTTACACGCTGCTTCTCTCAAACTCCACACCATCAAGGTCTTCAGTTCTCGAGGATTTCCACCCAATTCAGATTCACAAGGAATACCATATTCTGCATTTCTAGTCCAACGGCGTAAGATATAGCAGGGGGGAACTTCTTTTATGTCCAAGATTTGGAAAACTCTCAACACATGCCTACATAATATACCTTCAAATTCAAACATTTGACAGCTACAGCTCACTTCGGGAATGGATGCACCGACAGTGACTACATATTTCTCGTCGTCATTCCCGCACTTGCGGACCAAATACCTGATGATAGCCCCTTCATCATAAATCTTAAATCCTAGATAACTATAGGATTGTAGAAGTTCTTTCTGAAATACACGGAATGTGTTCAGTGTATAAAGTCTTCTGCATTGTTCTTCAAATGGTTCTTTTGTCTGCAAGTAGGCTTTCAAGTTAAAAGAGTTAAAATCCTCTTTTATTTCTTCTTCAAGCCGTCGCTCGAGGCCTCTTTCATATTGTGAAACAAACTCCTTAAGTGAAGTTTGGGCATTGAAACGTGCACCAAAGAATGATTCTATACTTTCATTGAAGGGGATGCCAGCAAAGAATGTAGCTCGTAAGTATAACGGAACCCAACTCCTGCGCTTTTCATACATTGCTTTCAGCCAAGCGTTATCCTTCAACCCATACCTGCTGAGGAGTGCATTCCATGCGGTTTCAAATTCATCGGCTGTTTGACACTGATAAACGCACTTTTCATATTCATATTTAAAAGAACTATTCATTACACTTAGATGCTCACTTTCTTTTGCCTTGATCTGCCACAATGAGAAACGATGATGGGTTCCTGGAAAAACTTGCATGATGGCTTGCTGGATCATATCATCTTGGTCGGCTATTACTGACAGAGGATGACGCCCTGACATTGCCCTAAGCCATGTTTGAAACAACCAAGTAAAAGATTTCTCAGATTCATCGGCAACCAGGGCACAACCAAGAAGCACTGGTTGCTTGTGGTGGTTGATTCCAATGAAAGTGACAAATGGCACCAGATAAATACTTTTCCGATATGAGGTGTCGAAAATAATGGCATCACCAAACTGGCTGCATGAAAACCTAGACCTCCCATCAGCCCAGAAAATACTCATGCAACTACCATTATCAACTTCTACTGCATAGAAGAATCCTGTATCTTCGGCCTGTCTGGTTTGACAATAGTCAAACAGCACACTGTACCAATCGCTTCCAATGTGATTTTCTCTTCGTCTTTTGACAAGGTTTCCACAGTTTATGTCAACAATATCTTCAATTTCCAGCCCTCCAATCTCCTCTTCTATGAACTTTTTTGAAGAAAATAGATTTTTCTTTTGAACTTCCAGGTGAGACTCAAACTCATGGTTATGATTTTTATCAAAACGGTCCACTACCCACCTTCCAGAATCTTGTCTCTTAATCCTCATATATGCCCCACAACCAACTCTTGATGGATGCTGAAACCCTTCCTTTGAGCACACAAATCTCCGAGATGTAATTGACCCATCAAGCTTTGAACGAAACAATTGACCAATCCTGATTCTAAATCCTGCATTCTCAGCATACGCATGATAAAATTGGTATGCTTCATTGGCCGAATTGAACTGTAGACCTGCAGATAGATCAATTTCTGACTTAATTTCCTCTCCACCCCGTTTTAAGCGCTTGGCACTTATAACTGCAGATGGGCAATGTGGTTTATCCTCAATTGCCTTAATCAATTTGACTTTTGGCCTATGAGACACTTCAACAACAGTATTTGT